CACTGTAATTCGTGTTTCGTCAGGACTTTTTCCATCATTTTGTATTGAAAGTAACTTCTATGCATCATCTACACAACTTTTAATGAAGTTTATTTTGAAAATTATTTTTTCTTTCTTGCTTTGGAAGTTTTTCCTATATATTTTTTGTATGTAACGTAATTATTTTCAATTTATTTAAGAAAATCAAAAAGTATAGAAAAACCTATTTAATTATCTTCTCTTATCCTTTATTTATAACCGTAGTCATTTCATAACAATCATCTTAACTTCACCAAAAAGATTATGATGTTTAATCGATCATACGAGACGGAGCAATGCGCTTCTTGCTGACCTAGACCATTTTTATAAAAAATGTAAATGTCAATCAATTTTGTATCAAATACAGTTACGGTGAAGCCGTCTCAGTGAGCGGCGTGTCGCCCGTGTAAATGCAAACAGTTATATATTATATATTAGTTTCGCCCAGTCGTTGATTTGCTAGACAATCACGTACATGCAAAAAATTGTTTAGGTTATGTTATACAAAAAGGGCTGTAACATAGGGTAAACCCAGACTAGGTTGCAGCCCCTGGAGAAAACCCTGTTATTCCGGTTGTCCAGGGCGAACTTTGACCTATCTTTGAACCAGATTCAAATCAACAAACATTGTAATTTTTTTCTGTTATTCAATTTTTATTTTCGTTTTTTGTGAATGCTGAATATTAGAGGACGGAATCAATGATTGGAAATATAGCCTGAAAATTGTTCATTAACCAGTAAACATTTGTAGAAATTTTACTGGATTTCCTAAGAAACGGTCAAACGTTGACTCGCTAACATTGATATTCGAATACTAGACCTTATAACATTTAGAAAATGAGACTTTTAATGACATTTCGATCATGGTCCTTATTTCCTGCAATTTGGAATAATCAACTTCCCCTCAAATTAAGCTCCACCCCTTTTCCACCTCTCCAAATGCAAGAAATGAGTACCGGTCTACATAACCTTCATTCATATTTTCAGCCTGGTCTTTATTTCATGCTCAGTGGTCTGCTTTTCATGCAGTGGTCTGCACTTCATGCTTTTCGCATATATTTTGGTCTTTATTTCCTGCCAATCAGGAATATATATATATATTATGTATGTATTGATTCTTATATAATCAGAAATGATTATTGACTAATGCAATCAGTTAGCTCCCTAACTATATTTTTAAATTGAAACTGTTTGAAGATAGGTTGCACTATAACGTTACTTGAACTATACAGCTGAATACCAGTATGGAACTATTGTCAACATATGAATATGAAATTCAAATCATCAATACAAATCATTCAAACGAATTATTTTATTAGTCTGAATTGTGATATTCTACCTGATTTCATTGAAATTTCAACAGGTTGCAATGAAGGCAAAATGGAATGGCCTCATGGTTTTGCTCTTAGTGGAAGTTCAATCATCAACCATATGGTACATGTCAGAGGAAACTCGATTGACTATGATAGATGGGAAGCTATGGGAAATCCGGGATGGTCTTACAAGGATATGTTTCCCTATTTTCTCAAATCAGAAGATTCTCACCTTCAAATGCAAGATGAGGGATATCACAATGTAGGTGGTTATTTGTCAGTAAGTGATGTTCCATTTCGGACGAAAGCCGCAGATGCTTATATAAAGGCAGCTCAAGAAGCAGGTCATCCATATGTGGATTATAATGGAAAAAATCAGCTAGGGGTGAGTACGTCCTAGTAAACAAATGGAAGTATAAACAACTCAGTCGATATCATTATCAACTCTGTCGAAGTAAAATAATCTTTAATGTTGTGAAAGACACTTTAATTGAAGGAAATGATTAAAATAGTGATAGAAAGAGAGTAAATGATTTTCAAGAGTTGAATCTTGTGCCGTGTAAGTAATAACGAGATTTCACTTTCTGATGTGGGATTCCTAGCTCGGCCTGGATTATCCAAATGATAGCCTCATTTGATTTATTTAGATATTAAACAAGATCTAATAAAGACCCCCTTCAGTTTTTTCGACATAATAGTGCCAATCATTAGACATTTGAAATTTCATTGAGGTGAAATAAAATCAAATTGGTTGGTAAAAAATTTCAGAATCTGAGAACAGTACAATTTTTTAAAATAATTGATAATTCTATGACCGAGCCCAGTAAAATATAAATGTAATTTTTATTACATTTTCATACCTATATTCTCGAACTAAGTACTTACTGGTTGAGTGCTGAATTTTTCAACATACTGATTTACAAGCCTTCTGAAAAATTAAGTTTTATATTATATCTTCTTCTTCAAAAACTGAGTTCTTCAAAACGACCGTCGCTCGTTCTCCATTGCAGTTATATGAAATTGGGAGTTTGATGAAAAAAATATCAAATTTTAAATGTTCTTGAAATATTTCTATCTTTTAACTTATGTTTAAAAATGTTTTAAAAAAAGTTTCAATCACGGAATTTAGAAAGATTTAGGAAAAGAAATTCATCATATCAATTTGGCAATCGTTTTCACGAATCATCATTTCAAAAGCTCAACACTTTCTGGCTAAAAATGAAGTTATACGGTTTGAATTGGTTTTTTATTTCTCTAATGAAAGATGAAACTGAATGAAACCAAAAACAAACACTTTCATTGATAATTGTTTCGGGATTGATCCATCGATCAATGAGAGAGTTTCCAAGAAAAAGAAAGAATCATAAATGTGTTTCTTCAGAATATAAACTTAATAAAAAAATCCGAAACAAGTATTTCAACAAATTTATCCTGAATTACAGAAAAATCATTCTCTTTATGTATTGACGATTGGTAACAAAATTCTAAAACCTGAACTTCACTGAAATTAATCTCGTTTTGCATAAACGCAATTATTATGGCTACTTTGGAGCTGTCAATGTACCTGAACACATTTTTTTTCGCCAATATCAAATAATACTTCAGAATCCACTATCATTATCAATACAATCAGGAAAATATTTTTTTCGGATGGGCTTTCCATCTGGTGTATGATCTACACATTTTCCAAGGGGTACCTCAATTTTTTTTGTAAAAGTTGAAAAATGAGTATTGCTATTTAATGTCGAACAAATAGCCTTTTATACAAAAAAATTATTCGAAGGATGTCTGCAATGAGAAATAAATGAAGGTTTTCTTTATTTCTTGATTTCCAAGTTTAACAGTCATATAAAACAATTACTATATATTTTCACTATATAATTTCATTTACTATACTATATACTATATAATTTCATTTCAAGGTGTCCTACGTTCAGTCAACTACTCTTAAGGGAAGAAGGTGCAGTGCTGAGAAATCGTTTCTGAGACCGGTTCGAAAGAGACCCAATTTGAAAATTCAAACNATAATATTTATTTGTCGAAAACAACTACAGTAACCAATGTGAATATTGAAAATATAAAGAGTTAGCCACATAAAACATTGCTTTGTATAGTAGTTGAGAGAAAAAAAGGAAAAGGGAAAAGGATCAGAAAAAAAAAGAATGAAAGTTATCACTTTATATACATCAATGATATATACTAACAGTCTTTAGTCAATAGCAATGTATATCAGTTGTTTACTCATGTGGTCATAACTAACAATGTTTATGTACCGACAATTATAGAACGGGTTTTAAAAAAAATCTCAGATTTGAACATAAACCGGCTTCTATCATTCAGCAGTAAGTACTCCACAATTGTGATACATTTGATGATCATTCGATGAGTCATAGTTAGTCTCAATAATAAGATGTAGTTGCAGATAAAAAGAAACGTGAATAAGAAAAACCGTGACGGAAGAAAGGAAAGAAAAGATGAAGAAGATCTACGAACTAGAGTTGATTCAAACAATTCAGGGTAGCTTCTTAGAAAAACACATTTTTTTGGTTGGTTTTTTTTTATTTTATCTTACTTCACAGCATTTCCCATCATAATTTTGTAATGTAGTAATTATTTTTTGTATCGATGAATCGGTGTAAGTTTTCTCGAGGTATACTAAGTAACCATGTTTTTGTATGACTTTTAAACATTTCTAGGAAATTAATTTTTTTCATCTCAATGTCCAATGTGTTATACAATTTAGGTCCTAGGTAAGTATGACATCTTTTTGTAATGGTTTTTTTCTGGTTCTGGTATTTTAAGGGCGTTTGTTTTGTGTCTTGTATTATGTATATGTGTATCCGAATCGAAACTTTATTATTTTTGTATTTATACACGGGAAAACTGTGACAGAATAATTGGCGAAAATCAAATACTTTGGTCTCGGTGTATAACAAGTCAGATAAAAATCTTCTTGTTTTGTTAAATGTAATTTTCAAAAGAAATTTCTGTATAGTTTCAAAATTTTATATCAAAGTTTTATTTTCTCCTCCCCAGACTACGATTCCGATTCGGCTAATGAATAGCGAATTTTTGAACTTTTACAGTAAGTATCTCAGTTTTTCATGATATTATTGATATGTGTTTCCCATTTCAATTGACTATCTAAAAATACTCCTAAATATTTAATGCTTTTGCTAGACTGAATGTCAATTTGGGAAGTGTTTTGCAAGAGTGTAAGCTTATTATCTTCTGGTAAATGATTTTCATACGATGCGAATGGAATATAATAAGTTTTATCATAGTTGATTGTTAGTAACTTTGTATCAAACCAATGCATACTTTTAGGAATATCTCTCTCAACTTTAGCTTCCACGCCTTCCCACGATAAATTAGTATAAATAACAGCGGTATCGTCTCCAAAAGTTAATACTTTCCCTTCGGTTTCTAGTTCAAATAACTCGTTTGATTATGAATAATATTGTCCCTAGAACCGTCCCTTGGAGTACTCCCTATTTTATATCAAAAAGGTCGCTGTAAATTTCCCCTATTTTCACACATTGTTTCCTATCTGATAGGTAGGTCTTCATTATGTCATATGCAATTCCTTGGAAACCAATATTATCCAGAGAGTGGAATAATTGCGAGAAACAAAAATCAATTGTGAAATTCGTGAAACAGTGGTTTCAATGATGGATATTTTGATCATTTTGGATGATTTTGTCAATATGAAAAAGAACTATGGATGTTAACGAAGTAGATGTTCAAAATGTTCACCACGAACATCTTGGCAACATCCTAGTCTCAAATAAAACTGTTTTCTAACATTATTTAACATATTATGCGTGACCGACCTAATCGCAAGCGTTATTCGTTTTTTTGAGTAATTAAAATCTGAAGGTTCATTTTTGTACACATTGCTCTTCACATATCCCCATTCAATCGATCCTCGCTTCCCTATCAACGGATTGGGAAATGGTGTATCGAGGTATTGCTGGACATTAACTTGGTAATGTTGTGGTGCTCCATCCTGCTGAATCCATATCGTATTCATTGAAACTTGAGGGTTTCCTGGATCAAGATATAAATTTGCTAAACTTGGAATGAGTATTGCCAAATAATTATCGTCATTCAAGTTGCCCTCAATGAAAAAAGGACCAATGATATGGTCGCCTACAATCCCTGCCCAAACACTAACCTTTTGAGGGTATTGCGTGTGTTCTCCACTCATCCAGTGAGGATTTTATGTTGATCAGTAGCGGCAATTACGAAGTACACTTATCAGAAAACACCGTCTTCTAATTGGACGATATTGTTATCCAACATGTCCATCATTTGCTCACAAAAATAAGTTCTTCTATCAAAATTGTCTTCCATGAGCTCCTGAATAAGTATCATTTTATATGGATGCATTTTATTCTCTTTTAATATGTTTAATGTCGATATATGGCTAACATTGAATGTACTCGATGTGTGGGTTTTCCTCAAACTCAAGCATCACGTCTAATTTGAGTTCATCACTCATTGCATTGGCAGTTGCTTTTTTATCTGCCCCACATGACCAAGCATGCGAAAGTGTATCTCTATTTTTCTGATTATTCCTTGAGATATGGGCGGTAAATTAGGAAATTTCTCATTAAATAGGCGAGCTACTTTCTGTTCTGTTCGGGTTTTATCTCCGAAACCAATCATTTGTGAAATTGTTATTTTATGCATTTCAGTTAATCTAACCATTTGTCAGACTTGAAGTTAACGAACGATATCGCCTAGAGAACATCGTGAATAAGTGCTCTACCGAATTTGTCGTTTATTGATAGACTTACGAGTGAGTACTACCTTATAATTGATATCGATCGACTCAGAAAAATATTCTGCACAAGATATGGATATATGATATTTACTATCTGCAGTCGTTATACTAGAATTTTTGGAAATCAATGAGATATTCATATTTTATTCTGTTTTTCTCATTGCAAAAAGCTGGTAAATAACAGCTGGAGATAACAGCTATTAGTACGTGGACCAGAGATTTATACTATGGACATGGAAAAAATTTGGAAAGAGGATAAAATATTTCAAAAGTTATCGAATCAAAACGAAAGTTTGAAGGATCAGATCAAATTAATGAATGAAGAATTGCGTGTGTTTATAAAAACGATACAAAATAACCTAGACGAAGTGTTGAAACAAAACGAACAGGTCAAAACTGAAAATAGCATATTGAAAAGGCGTATATTATTAGTAGAAAAAAGGGTAAAAAAATATAATTTATTTATCTACAATTTAGCTGGTGAAGACATATACAAATCGGTAATTAATCTTATTTGTGAATAGCTTACCATTGATTTTGAAGAGAAGGATCTAAAGGATGCTTTTAGATTGAATACTGGTGGCAAACCGAATAAACCACATCCCATCCTCATTGAGTGTAGCAACAGTAAAGTAAGAACAGCTATTCTTACCAAGGCCAAAAAACTCAAGGGTACAGGAATATTCATATCGCCCTATTATCCTTCGGAAGAATATCAGAAAAAGAAACGCCTCTTTCATTGTCAGAATACTGCCAGGCAGCAAGGAATGATAGCAACAATCAAATGTTATTCCCTTGTAATAGACGGTGAAAGCTACAGCCTTGACAACCTGGAAATACAGCCCTTTATGAATTTTTCGACGGACCATCATTCGAGTAAATCAACGCTGCATAGAAGTGACAGCGTCTCCTCCATTACAAGCAGTTCATCTCAAAAAAGGCAGCTTGAACAAGACGATCCCATCATTACTGTTCCTGCTAAGAAAAATCTTCGTAATAGGCAGCTATAGACCTTTAGTTAATTTTTTTCATTTTATTAATGTTATTTGGATTGTTTATAATCAATTTTAAGTGTAATATACATATTCATTTCATTCTTTTTGATATTTATGTGACGAAGTATTGTTGTGGCTCACGTACTATTGCTCTCGACGAGTTTTCATTTAAATTTTTTTTTATATGTGAAGAGGCACTTTAGTAGTGTAAAATATGTTCATTTTGGTGGGTCACGTAAACATTTGTTCTTTGGTCCCGAAAATTAATGAAATCAATTCTTTAATTCATTCAAGAAATTTTCATATATTAGGGGTTTCAGAAATGATATTACATCCTGGTATCCCTGACAGCTTCATAAACGTTGGAGGTTATTCATTGACTAGAAATGATAGAGTCACCAAACGTGGAAGAGTAGTAGCTTTTTTTATTAAAAGGTCTTTAGGATACAAAGTTTTAATTTCTGAAAATGAAAGTTTCCTTGAACACCTGTGGATAGAAATTCGGGTGGGAAAAGAAAAATTTGCTTTGGGAGTATGTTACAGACCTCCTAAAACTGATCATGTGGCTTTCCTGAACAGATTCGAAAACGTTTTGATAAACATTCATCCCGAATTTGAGCATATTATATCTCTTGGGGATTTTAATATCGATTATTTCAATACAGCTTCTAACTTATTAGATGATTTCAGATCGGTAAGTAAATCATTCAATTTCACGCAAAATATTTCTGATGCAACTCATATCACGAATAACTCTATGACTTTAATCGATCATCTCTACTCTAATTTTGAATTAAATAGCGTAGGTGTGGTCGATATGGGATTTGTTAGACACTTTTTAATTTACTGTTCATTTGTAATAGATCGCAGTGATGTAAAATCCAAAAATGTTACTTTCCGTGATTTTTCTGGTATTGGTTTTAAACAATTTCAACATGACCTTGAAATTTAGGACTGGGATCGTATTAATCAATTGAACCGTATAGTGATAAAGTTGATTACTTGAATAAAACCATTTTGGACGTGGTAAATCATCATGCACTGACAAAAACGTTATCCAGCCCTGTATAACGGATAATATGAAATTGTTGCAAAAACTGAGAGACAAGGCTTTGAATAGATATAAAAAATCTAGACTGCAGACCCATTGGGAATACTATAAAGACTTGCGAAATTTTACATCTTCGGCCATAAAAAGAGAGAAAAGGGCATATTTATATTTCAAACTGTCTAACTGTACCTTGAAAGAAAAATGGAAAGAAATGAAAAAACTGAATATAACTCGTAAACAAAATACTGTGTTACCGAAATAATTAAAACATACTAACAACTTTTTAATCAATGAAAAAGGAAATGGGCTGGTTAAATATGTCTAATCGTCGTTTACTACATTTACGTTGTTTTGTTATGAAATCCTTAAAACTGATACACCTGAATATCTGTGCAGAAGAGTCGCATACAGGACAGATGTTCATAATCTCAACTTGAGGATAAAGAATCTTATTGATATACCAATACATAATAAAGAAATCTGTAAATCCTCCTTTTCTTATCAGATTGCTATAATTTCCTTTTTACTGAATATTCCCAGTTTTGCATTGTCTCTGAATTCCATAAAAAAAACAAAAAAAATCAATCTTGTTGATTCACCAATGATATAACCTAGTGAATAAAATGCATCATTTTAGTTTATATTTTCTAAATCAGTGGTATATTTTGAGTATTAGTTATTTTCGTTCATATTTGTTTAACTAGTGGTATATATAAGTATTAATTATCTATATAGGTTATAGGTACTCACTTTATCATAACTAGATAGATTTTCATTAATGGTTCATTATACATTTTGTTTTTTTTAGGGGAGTGTGGAAGAATCGATCAACTGACCTAACACTACTCCGCCCCTCGACAAACCAATCCGGAATCGGCTGCTCTCTGTCCAGCCATGAGTTGAAAACTCTGGCCAGATGGCGGTGGGTACTTGGTAGTTTTTTCCACCAATAAGTGTTCAGCCCATCAGCGGCAAAGTTCTTGGAACCAACAAGGGCCCTTCGAACATCATCCAGGGTTATCGGATTGCGCAGTTCATTGAGCTCAGGCTGTCGAAGTCCTCTGTTGAAAGCTTCAAACTGCGCTAGGGCTGGAGTGTCTAGGTTGAGTGGCTGCGGGTGTTCATAGATATCCTTCCAGAAGGATTCCACCTGATCAGCAGTCGGCGGCTTATCCACAACACGTGGAGGCTCTTGGAATAAGCGAGAAGGTTTCTCGCGGAACCTAAGATTTTCCGCGATACTTCTCGCTCGCCTCACTAGTGACTTGTTAGCAGCCACTAGCATTCGTATCCTATCAAGGCAGTGCTGTTTGGTGGTCAACAGCACACCTTGGCTTAGAGTGTGATGGATACGTCGTAGATTGGAGCCTATTGGCCGCCCTGTAGTTCATCACACATTGGATACGAGACGCGTGTTGTCTCGCTGACGTGATCTTAGCCTCCATCTTGTGTACACGCCGTTCAATCTTCCGAAACGCAAGGCCGAGATTTCGTCCTTCCGATTCGGAAAGCGATTGGACGACGTTATACACGGCGGTGTTGATTTGCCAGATGTCAGCCTCTTCTGTTAGAACACTATGAACCTCCGCATCCAAACAAGCCAGTTCTTGTGGCTTCAGGGGACTCCATTGGTGACATGATGCGAGTCTCCTCTCCAGCCATGCCAACGGGTGGTAGAACTGCACTTCTCCCACTTCGTTAGCAGGCCGGATGTGTTTCACACCACTGAGCATGCAATCTCGCCATGTACCCTCTTCGCGCGGGCTCACTACTCTCGTATCAATGCATAAGGCTATCTCTCAGCTCATGCGTCCACTCAAAGCGTCCGTTGTCGTTGCCAGGATTGTCGTCGGTAGGCAAATCATCGTTATGGGCCCCACCACCTTGCCTCTGACCCCTCCGAGTGGGTCGATTGTGGGGGCCCCTTTCTTGATCACTGGGAACCAAGTGTTGGGTCCACCGGGTGGTTAGCCCTGTGGACCCACGGTTGGCACCGGAGGGAGAATAGAGTTCTCCTTCCCGGGTGCGCCTAGGCTGCCGGTCCGGTTTTGCACCAGTTGCACGGGTAAGTGTTGTCGCAACTCACCAAAGGCCATGGGTGTTAGTGGCCATCCCTGCTTATTTATTATTATTATTATTATTTTTGAGTTAAAATACTGATCACTAATGTTGTAACATACAAAACAGGTTTACAAGGCGTGTTATACTAACGTTGCCACGGAAATTATTTACCGATTTTTAAAGGATACCATCCAAAAAGAACATTACTATGGTTTTTGCTTACTTTCTTTTTATCAGTACCTCAACATGAAATGAGTTTTGAGTATATTGCAAAGAGTTTTGAGTGTATTTTATCGAGTTTCGGTAACCACACGATTTTAGTTTATTTTATCTTAATTGTTGTAATAAACTCGAAAGCTGTAACATTTTTGAATAGAGAATGAAGAGACCTTTCAAATGATATATCACAAGCCAATACTTCCTATTTAAAAAATTTTTCTGTTGAAGTATGTCAAATCATAATTTAAATTTGATGTGTTTCGGGATTTTGTTGAAATATGTACTGTAACCGAAAAAATCAATTCATTCCATTTGGCTTTTACACACTGTATAATTCTGGTTAACGGTAAGCACAACATTTCATGAATATTACTCCGCATACTAAAATAATGCATGATTCTTGAAAATAACTATGTAATTGGTACTTGTATAAAAGCTTTAGATAAAACAGGGGATACAAGTACATATTTCTGATCACTAGTTGAACCATCGTGGTCCTGAATCATGATGGACACATGCCATCCACAGTCCCATCTGAAGCTAGATCAGAAGTTCCTAGAAGTTATTTAGAAGACATGTCTTGTAGTCGCCAAGAACTAGAGGGTTTTGAGTTAATGTGTTCTGCCGCACGTTAATGACCGATGTCGCTGCTATCGTTAATGAGAGCAGGTTGGCCTCAATTCACACCTAATATATAATTTTCAACTACAGTGTTCACTTGACAGTAGCAACTGATTGATTGGAATAGATGAGAGGCATTACGCATGGCTCCTTAAATAAAAATCGCTTCAATTTTTTCTTCCAATGGACGGGAATCGACGATTTTAGAGATTGTTGACGTGGTACTTTTCTACTAGTGAAACCAAAAACTAAATGAGAATATTCTAACTGAACAATGATATTCATTGATGTACCGACATTTTTTGTCGTTTTTATAAACAAAAAATAACTCAACAAACCTTATCGGGTTGTTGGAATTGCCATATGACAGATAAAAAGGAATATTTCTAGAAATATCGATATTAATGTGTTTGTCTTCAGGAAATTATTAAATGTTTCGTCATTTTGTAGTAGGTGAAGATATTGACTTCATACTCTAGGGTTGTGAAGTAGTCGTCAGAAGCTTAAAAATGATGTGTCAAAAGATCCCCCTTTCCATTTAATTTTTTTTCCCAGATGGCGCCCAGTCGCCATCGTGAAAATTTCGTCTGTACCTGGTTCACCAGTTGCTCTCTACTCAGATGATGATCGTTTTGATTCCGGAGTGAAGTGATGAATCCATGTTCCATCCATTGTCACATATTTGTTATGTTGAAACATCGCCAGCATCATTAAGACGTTCTTGATTTTGGTCAACAGTCAGCTCGCACGGCACCCACTTTGAACACAGCTTTCTCATAGTCAAATGTTCATGCAATATAATAATAATAATACGTCTTCAGTATTTTCCACATACAGTACATCTATAATAAATCATGTTTTTAAACAAAGTTGGAAAATAAAGAGAGAAGTTCATTTTCTCCAATGAAGCAATCACTTACTTCATTAGGATTATGTTCTTCCACCCTGTTCCGCAAGCCACAGTTTCCTCAAGTACTTTCAGTATGTAATGCTCTTTTTATTTATCTTGTTCAGTTTCTTCTGAACAAATTGAGTTCATTTTCAGTATATATCATTGAAAATTTATTTGTACGATCTAAAATACGTTTCAATTCAACAGATGATTTCTGTTACCATATTGTCATAGAAAATATCGAAATAATAAATTGTACTCTAAAACAATTTGCATAAAGCACCAGAAACAAATGAATATATGTACATACGATGAAACAAAAGAATACACTGATATTGATCAGTATTGATTGAAAATCTTCCAATTGAGGCATTGCAAACATTGGTATCTCTAATCAGCACCTCTTTCTACAATGGAGTTTTTCCTGATTTTCTGAAAACATCTGTTGTCCTTCCATTATATAAAGGTGGATATTCAGATGATCCCGCGAATCTTCGCCCGATCTCTCTCATTCCAACTATAGCCAAAGTTTTCGAAAAACTTGTGAAAATATGTCTGACAGTTTTACTACAACACCACAATATTTTAACTGAAAGCCAGTTTGGTTTTCAAAGCAATAAAAATACGCACTATGTCATCTTTTCGTTTCTTTATGATATTTACTCAAAGTTTAATTCTGGTAGCAGCTGCGGTCTTTTGTGATCTTTTCTAAGGCGTTTGATTGTGTTGATCATAAGATCTTGCTAAGAAAAATTCACCAATACGGCTGCAGAGAAATGACACTCAAGTGGTTTGAATCTTACCTTTCAGGAAGGAATCAAATGGTAAGAACAACAGAACTTTCAGAAAAAAAGGAAATTTTGTGTGGTGTTTCACAAGGATCAGTTTTTGGACCCATCTTATTCTTACTATATGTAAATGACATTGCAAATTTAAGCATTTCTGGAATTTTCACTCTTTTCGCTGATGACACGACGATATTGTGGAACAGCAAAAACTCAAATGATGTACATAATGCAATATCTACTGATATGAAAAAATCAATGAGCGGTGTGATGCTAATTTGCATCACACCTTCAATATCACTGAAACAAATATTTTATCATTTAGATGTGCTCTTGATGACCTGTCAATTGGTGATAACTTAGTGATCAAGAACGAGACTTAATCTAAATTTCTAGGTATTCACATTGACAACAAGCTCAAATTTATTAAGCATGTTAAACAACTCAAAAGTAATTTTTTTTCTGGATGTTATGCAGTGAGAGTAACTTCAATAAATTTGGGAATCAAAACTGCCAGAACGGTGTATTACGCCCTCGTTGAATCCCACCTACGTTATGGAATACCGTTTTGGGGAATATGCAATTTATCAGCACTTCGGTCTGTATTAGTACTGCAGAAACAGGCTATCAGGTGTATGTGTAAGATTAAACCTCGTGATTCGTGCAGACACAAATTCGCTGAGTAAAACATTTCAACAGTGATTGCTTTGTTCATTTTGGAAACGGTTTGCCTCATTTACAAAAATATGTTTCTATTTGAGGCTTCATGCCATTCTTATCAAACCCGTTCCACCGCGTTGAAATTACCAATTCCTTCAACAAATTTGGCCAGGAATTCTATTTATTACAATGGGGTCAAGATGTTTAATCACTTGCCCTCAGATATAAGACAGGCAAATTTGAGCAACAAAATACATTTTTGGCTGCTAGACCCTATTATGATTTGAAAGAGTGCTTCAATGACATATTTACGTGACAAAATGTGCATATTTTTGGTTTATATTTCGAACAAATCTGTACACAATCATGTTGTGTACAGATTTGTTTACTATAGTGTATGTTCTAACTTTACTGTTTTGTGTTTTTATATTTACATTTTATGTTGTCCACAAGATTTATTCTTAATGTCAATAGAGTATATTATTATTATAGAGCATGGTAACATAGCAATCGTATTCATTGTCACCATATCTCCAAATCGTAACGTTTTAAACGCACGAGTGAAAATGCAATGTTCATGCCTCACGCATTGAAAATGTTTTTGTTGGACGTCAAAATCTTTCCTGAATACTTGATGAAACAACTTTATCATTTCAGGTATTCCCGTTATTCAGGATTTGCCGGTTGGAGTTGAAATGTATGACCACCCCACTTTCCCTGGAATTTTTTTTCGACTAAATGAAAGTATAGGCATTGACCTGTTGAAGGAACTAACAAGTTCAATGACGTTCTCTCAATATTTCAGGGAATCTAGGGGATTTTTCTCATCTATAGGTGAGTATTCTTTTATCTCTATGGTTTAGTACACCTATTTGTGTTTGTGCATGCGTGCGCAAGGCTGGACCTAAGATTTAGGGGCTAGTAGTTAGGGTGTGTTTTCGGTGTCCTCCTCCGCAAATGTGCCCAAACTATCACGAATATTTTCAGAGCAACATATATATTCGCGTAAATTGCTTTCATGTAGTATTTTGAGCATAGTTATTGCGGTTGAACCTTTCAACCCCTTTTTTTATGGTTAAAGCGTGAAACTTGGAATTTTTTATTTCAATTACAAGTTCTTCTTCGTTCAAATCATTTGTATATCTAGTTTTTTAATTTGATCACCGCACAAGAAACTAAATTTGTCGGCAATCATTTTCAATGCATCATATCTACTGGTTAGCCCAGGTTTTCCTCTGTCATTTTCTTTATTTTCCTTTCCCTTGTTTCTTTGAACTTTGTCGTCATGCCGATATTATTTATCTAAAATAACAAATTTAGAATACCTTGAATGTGCATTACAGCTTTGTCTACTGTTTCATCTTCTCTTTGCAAAGACTTGTTAACTCATGGATTAGATATTTGTCTTCAGATCTTGTTTCTCCCAACTAGCCATTTCGTATTTTATAATAGTTGCGGAAATGTTTCTGAGAAACAAATTATGAAACTGCATTTCTCCCAGAAATGTTTTCAATGTATTTATAAAACTGCCATAAATAGGAAATTGGCAACGTTTTATAAAACATTATAGTCATTATCAATATTTTGTAAGGCCTTTTACAAACACTATAAAACAGTTTTATAAACATTTCGGCAGTTACTATAAAATTTTTCTAACACTCTTAAAAAGTAGTTTTGTAAATACTTCTCTCACTGCAATTTTGCAACATACTTAAGCGAAATTTACAGAAGACAATTTTATAAGACTTTTTTAGTAGCTCCAAGTAAGCGTTATAAAATATAATATAGCCGAAAACAATAAAAATTAAAAAAAAAGTGTTGAAAATGTTTTCTTGAAGGCGCAAGAAGTAATTTTGTATTGGACACTAGGAAAATATAATAGATATGTCACCAACTGAAAACTCACAAATAGAGAGGTTGAAGCCATTTTAAAATTTCACTTTTGCACTCATAAAACTGTTAAAGACATTGTTTGTGTTTCGAAGATTGATATTTTTACTGCAAATGAAATTTTATTGACAAATATATAGCCTATTATTAGCAAAATT